GATACTTCTACTATAGCGTAATGCTATTGTGGCATTAGAACATATGTAATAAGAGCTCATACTTTTGCAGCATTTTATATATTTTTGTGGTTTTCTAAATTGAATAATTTGGCAATTTACTTAAGTGTACTTGCTGGATGGAGCTCAGGTGTAGTATGATGCAGACTGTGGCACTCATTGTGACTTGAATTTTCTGTAACAGGGTGAAAACGTTTATACAGGGCAACAGTGTGTGGAAGCACTTTGCAGAGAGGCTGTGCCAACATAGACCTAACCACCTCTGTTTTTTGTCCCAGTAACTCCCCTTGAAAATTGCAGCTGCAATATGCGAAAGTCAACAGGTCTTCTGATGATCCTGTTATTCTCTGGGATAATCAATGTTACCACAGTCCTAAAGCTGACATGGACCTGATACAAAAAACGACAGTGGCAACCAATACTTGATGGAAACTCCCCATGCTTTAGGAAATGTAGGCAAGAAACCCCCATGACAAAATGCTACTCTGCTGTTCTTGCTATTAGTTGGATCAACTGGTATCACTCATATACAATTAATGCAAATATAAGTCTCACCAAATATTTGCATAACTTTTATGATTAGGTGTCTACCAAACAGGCTTATTTATTCTGACTGGTTTTTACTTCTATTCCATTATTTAGTAGCTTTCCTTCAAGCACTATTTATAGCTGCTAAATTGACATCTAGAACCCCATGGCTTACAAAACACAAGTGTTTTTCTCAGTCTTAAAAATCTTCAAAGAACTTAAAATGCAGTAATTCTACCATGTATTCTGAAATTCCTGAGAGTTTTGGCTCAGAGATTCTGGCTGAAAGATTGAACCAACTGAAAATTCCTTCATTTAAGAACTATCATAGAACTCTATGCTTACGTTTGTCCTTGCAATACTTATACTATGATTTGCTACTTCCAATTTTATTGTCTTCTCAAGAGGCATCTCATTCCAGTGGAAAAGCATTTTGTTTCAATTTTAAAACAGAAAAAATGCTTTTGACATGAGGAAAATGCAAATCAGGAGCCACAGAAATGAAGTATTTTGAGCTGGGCATAAAATGATCAGTTTTTAAGGCTATAGGTTTTGGCACTTTAGTTTGTGCAACTGGGGCACACATACTTTTGGAAAAGCTTCTAAAAGAAATTTTTTAAAAAGTCAGCAGTTTGGAACTGAAAGAGACTCATTGAACAATTCATTCTTGTTTAAAATGTTCATAAGTTCTATTTTTCAGTTTATAAGTATGTGCAAAAGTTTCTAAAGCTGAATTAAAGTAAATATAGTTACATAAATGCAAAGAAAAAAAACTTTAATTCATTTGCTTTAGGCAAAATTAATTTATCCCCAGTTTACCAATGAAAAGTAGCTTCTCAGCTGTGACTGAGGGGGCCCATGCAAATCTCATGGAGTTTAACAAGGAAAAATGCAATGGTGTACACCTTTGTCAGGGCTAAGGCAAGCACAAGTTCAGGCTGGGCAGGGAATGGAATGAGAGCAGCCCTGAGGAGAAGGTCTTAGGGAGTCTTGTGGATAAGCAGCTCAACATGATCTTCTCACATTCTTCTTCTCATGACCTTGCTGCAGCCCAGGACACGGATGACCCTCTGAGCTGCATTGAGGGAAGTGTGGTCAGCAGGTGAGCATCTAAGGAGACGATTCTCATCCTGTAATCTGTTCTCCCCTGTTGTGACCCCAGGTGAAGTACTGCATCCAAGCTCTGAGATTCTCAATATAGGGACATGGACCTATTGGATGGGTCCAGAGGCAGCCACAAATCTGCTCAGAGGGTTGGAGCATCCACCCTATAAACACAGACTGTGAGAGTTGGGGTTGTTCAGCATGGAGAAGCATCTGGAGAAACCTTAGAGTCCTTTCCAGTACCCAAAGGGGCTACAAGAGAGCTGAAGAGACACATTTAACAAGGGGATGGAGTGAAGGCACAAGGATGAATGGCTTCAAACTGACAAGAAGGTAGCTTGAGACTGAGTATTAGGAGGAGATTTTTTGACTGTGAAGGTGGTGAGGCACTGGAACAGGTTGTGCAGAAAAGCTGTGGATGCCCCATCCCTGGAACTGTACCAGGCCATATTGGCTTGGTCTAATGGGATGTGTCCCTGCAAGGGGATTGAACAAGATGGTCTTTAAGGTCCATTCAAACCCAAACCACACTGTGATTCTACAACTTTGGGATGACAAAGTATTTTTAATCTCAGTTTATACATAACCTGTTGCAAAACATATTAATTTGTCTTCATTCCTGGGAAGAATTAGCATTTGGTTCTAACTGATCCATGTCACTCTGAAAAAATCATCACATATTAATAGTAAAAATTAAAGAGTATTGTTATATTTTACTACTTACTAGTGGTCTCAGTTCTAAACTACCATTGATGATATTAAACAGAAGAGAGCATATAAGAGAAGAAAAGGCGACATTATCTTTTTGTCCAGGTTTTGCTGGGATAATGTTACTTGAGAGGGCATAGCAGATAAATCTTACATATACTTTTCCCTAATATGTTGGATAAAACTGCTAAACCACTTGTTTAATCAATTTGTTCTTAAATAAAAGCATTTTGAAAGTTTTCCTGGTGTTTCCTTAATACATCATTATTATAAGAAGTTTAACATGGGGAATGTTCATGTTCAAACTCAATTTAATAGCAATTCTCCCACAGATGTGGAAACAGAAAAAGAAGACACTTATTCAGAAGAAAACAATTTTCAGTGAAACTGATGCTTCTGATAGAGCTCTCTCTCATATGCTTTGGCTAAAAGGCAGTGCCTTCACTGCAATAGCTTTGTTTAAATAGTTGTAGCCACACAGGAAAACATGAGCTAGACATGCAGTTCATGAACACAATCAACATCACGGTGTTTAGGTGTAGCATTGCTACACTTTAATTTCAAGCTACCTATGTTACAAAAAAGGTAGGCTTCAAGGAAAAACTTCAAAAAGTAAAGAACAGTGCACAACATGTAAAAACAAGTTAAATTATTAGAGGGGTACATAAAGTCTCTAGATAGATACAGAATTAAATTCAGGAAATTTTATAATTTCCTAAAAATTACAAATATTTTAATAAAAATATATAAGTATCTTAAAAAAATTCTGATATTCTGCTTTTTTCTCAGCTTTCAGAAGCATAACACAAACGTCCTGAAGAAGGATGATCTCAAAAATGGCACTTTCTCTATTCCCTAATAGGGTTACACACCTACTTTTAGACAACTTTTGTTTTAATCTGCAAATGATATAAGAGTCTTATTTAATATTGATCATCTTGCACCCCAGAAAACAGCAAGACTTTAGAATGAATTCTTTGTAAACAGAAGATTTTTTAAATTTGTTTTGCTGAGAGCAGATCAAAGATTTAGAATGTTGGAATAGGCCCACAAGGCAAATTATCTCCTTTGTTTTAACTGTATATAAATCATAAACACAGCAATGCATGTAAGATATTGTACATGCATTATACCTCTAGGTTAAAATATTACTCCAGCTAAGAAAACCATATTAAAAATGCAATGTTTAAACCATACATTCACTTTTTGCTGAATATTCTGACATGGCAGGTTGCAAAAATGCCAACTTCTGAATGAAATGTTATCCAACCAATGTAACAAAGCAGAACAGGGATAAATAATTCACTTGAATATCTTTAAAGAATTCCCAACTCTCACACTGTATTGTTCATTCAGGATTATTAAGATCACAGTTTTTTCAGTTTGCAATGGGGACAATCTGTTACCCAAAATAGTCAGCACATTAGGAGTTAACTTTCATCATGCAAACCAGTTCTACCCCTCAACATTCTCCCAGTTCTCCCCTATCTCTTCAGTTTGAGCATCTTAGATATTTCAGAAGTTACAAGAACCACATAACAATCAAAAAACTACATAGCATCACTTCACATATGAAGTTCATAAACTTCATGAAGGAAATAGATTACTGTCCTGCATCCCAGAAGCAGACTGTGTGAAAAACTCATCCATAACCCTAGAATTACAAACACTGCTCTCTTTTGTTTTAATATTAAAAATACAAATAGACCTAAAAAAGTGCAAATATTTGTCAAATGAGCACTTTATTAATAGGAGGAGGTTTCTTAATAACCTCCCTTTCAAAGTTGTACCTGAATATGCTAGAAGAGTAAATAATAAAAGTGAATCACCCCACATAGCTATTTATTTTTTTTCTCATTTTAACACCTTTAAATAGTAACTTCTATAGGCCTCACTAGCTCAAGTCTCTGAAAAATTTCAATTCACTTGCTTTACGCACTAAATACACTCTTTTTAACAATACAGAGAGAAGAAAAAAATGTAAAAATTGGTTGTATTCCACTATAGTCAAACTCTCAGTCTTTCTTTTGTGGAAAACAGCATACACTTCTCCTTTTTTATCACCTCCATAACTCCTAAGACCAGAAAAGCCTGGAGAGCTCTAAAGAGCTCTATAAAGTGGAGTCCATTATGCTCTTGTAAAGCTTGGCCATGACTGTCACCTGTGCCCAACCAGTGACAGGGGAAATCTGTCTTCAAGAAGCTTCACTGTGAAAACTTTGCACACAAGAACTCCAATCAGTAAGATAAGTAAGTAACAGGAAAATGAATTCGTTGTTCACATTAACAAAGGCAATTTTTTACACTTTAGAAATTAAAGGTTATAGGAAAGGAATTGGGACATTGGCCACTTATAAGAAGTTACTAGATGAATTCAAGATAGGTTAAAGTGCTTTAACAAAGCTGAAAGGTTTTGTGATTACATTAAAAGCTGAACTGTATCATGATATTTATCTAATGAAACAAAAAACACTGTCATTGAAACACATTTGGAAGGGCAATAAATCCTGTGCCAGAAGTTTCCAGTCATATGGGGAAATATATATTTATGCTTGGCAGCAAATCATTGTTGTTCTAAAAAAACGCCCCAAACAAATAAACACCAAAAGCTAGAAATCAAATGCTAAAATTTACAAAGTTACCTTACTTGATCTTTTCCAACTCTTCCTCATTAGCATTGTCTGAAAATAAAATAGAGCATTTTTATTACCTTTTCTCTGCAATACAGAAAGGGAGGCCAACAGTCTCAAGCAAGGCAATTCACATTTAACCACCACAAGTCAAGGAGCAACATGTACACTCCAGCAACAGATCCACACAAGACTGAAATAAATCCAGACAAGTAGCAGCCCTATGCACACCCAGGCATACTTTCTGGGCAGTGAGTGTCTCATTTCTGGAGACAATGCATTGCACAAACTTGTAAGAAAGAAAAGACAGAAAGAACCAGATTTAAAAATGAAAAGAAATAAATGTGCCATTATGAATAGTGACTTCAATTCTGAATGATATTTGAATATTTATTTATTTATTATTTCTTAATAATAAGTACTTCAGTTTTTTTGAATATTACTGTTTTACTCACAGGTGTAGCCGCAAAAGAGAAAATCTGCATGAGACTCCTTTGATGACATGAATAGATTAAAAAATCCTTAAGGTTATCACTGCTCATTCATTTCACAGCAGTAAAAACAGTTCTTTGGTTTGATAATTACATACATGAAATAGAAAAAGAAGTTGTATCTTCACTGTTTTAAAAAGCCAAATTTTCCTGTCCCATTACATAAACAATCTGTAAAACCCTGCCACTGCTAGGTGCCAAAGTATCCAAGACAGATTCCTAATCATTAAATAAAAGAAACATTCTGGTCAAGTAGGTTGTGGAAAGTTTATCTGCGAACACACTGTTGCTTAAACCATTTCTATGGAATGCAAATAAATCAGTTTATACAACTTAGTAAGATTTAGTAGCCTGTTATTTACACTGAGCAGGAATAAATCAAAGGCCATTCATTTCTATTTAAACTTTTTCTGTGAAAAACATTATTTTAATGTTTTATTAACTATTTCAAAAATACTTGCTTTTTCAGATAATGGAAATAAATTTTGAAATTAAATATTTTCCTCGCTAAAAAATTAAATTACATTTTGGCAAAAAAATTAAAATGAGAGAAAATATGTGGGGGTTTTGTTTCTGAAATATCCAGAAGTTTTTCAATTAGACATAGTTTTTACTGAGAAGGAAAATAACTAGCCACTGAGGAAACTTCTTAATTGCTGTGGACAGCTAAGCCTAAGCACTCAGCAGTAAGTTAATAATAACTGTAGCACTGTGGCTTTGGAAAAGTTTCATGAAAATGTTTCATTAATCTCGAGATGTAATTTAACTAATTTTTTCTAGGAAAAGCACTTAAAAATAAACAGCTTGAGGCCCTGAAGCAGGCCCTGAAGAAAATCTGAGTTCCTGGGTCCTGTCCAACACAGCACAGCTCCTCCCTTCCTTGTCATTTCTGAATCCTAGGTGAGAGGACAAACTCAGCTTCACTGTACTTCAGACCAGGCTGTGAGCAAGGAACAAAGTAAATCCTGACAGCTGAATTAATTATACAGGCTTAGATTAGATGCTAGGAAGAAATTGTTCACCATGAGGGTGGCAAGGCATTGGAATTTGTCACCCAGGGAAGTTGTGGCTGCCCCATTCCTGCAAGTTTTCCAGGCCAGGATGGATGGGGACCTGGGCAATGTTATCTAGTAGAGATGGTTGAGTGGAACTAGATGATCTTTAAGGGCCCTTCCAAACCAAACTACTCATGACTCTCTCAACTCTGACGAGTTCAGTTTGAGTAGTAGCTACAGAAAGGTGTGACCACCCTTATTGAGTGCATTGGCTTCATCATCATCAGCTAAAGCAGATAAGCTGAAGTCATAACAACCATCCTTAAAAGCCAATAAAAAATATATAAATATAGCATAGAGCAGATCAGAATAAATTATCTACATGGAGCTTTTTAATCTGAAAATATTCCATGCCCTGAGTCTATCAATGGAGTTTTTCTAAATGATATTAATGTCCCTCTGGCAATCAATCAATAAATAAATAAATAATGCATAATATGATTTAACACAGCAAGCAAACTGACAGCACAATAATATTAATAGTTTCATATGAAGAAAAAAAAACTAAGCATCATTTGAGACAGATTATTTTAGGAAAAAAGCCATGTCTTGAACTTTAATCTCAATAAATAACAGTATCCAGGTGGAACTCGTATGTTTCCTTTCTTTCCATTTCCTTTGTTTGTTAGGTCGCTGGCAGTGATGAACAGCTGTCCCCAGTCTCTGCTGATCCCAAGGCAACGCTTCTTATCAAGCTACCAACTTTGTCATTTCCTGTAGCTGAAAACTGCCTGTTAAGGCTCAGGTAAGGAACAGCTGTGGTAGTGAAGACATGCAGCATGTGGGTGACATGCAGCTCTGAAGAACTTGCCTACCGCAGGTTTTCCAGTGATGGAATATGTGAACTGAATGCTGATGGGAAAATAGTCAGAAAATCTCACATGCATTGTGGAACCCATGACTACAACACCAAACAGAACCCACAGGAAGCCCGCACACATGCACGAAATCACAAAGAGCACACTAGCACACGCAGCACCACATGTATCCAAAAAATAATAAACACTGTCAGAATTAAAGTAACAAGACAAGCTTTGTTGGAGCAGGTCTAAGAAAAAAATCAAGCTATTGCTACTTTTGGTTTCTTTTAAACTGGTCATCAAAAGGAGAAATTAATGAAAAATACAGAAAGTAAATCATAACCACATTATTTTTTATGACCAGACTTAAAATTCAGAAGTCTTTCAATAGAGCTCACAGGCTTTCACATTATTATATACACATACTTCTCTCATATTTATTTATTTTACATCTTTTTAGTTTACACTGGTTTCCTAATCTGTCTGTCCTCTCAAAGCAGTAAAATTGAAATGCTGCATTAATGTCAAGGACAAGTACTTCTAAACAGAACAAAGCAAACACAAATTAATCGTTGGAACTAGTGCTACTGCAACTTTCTGCATTTGGCTGGAAATAGATTAAACTTTTCTTGAATACTAAAACCTTTCTAATTTTTATAGCCATATAAGAATAATTTATTAATCAATTTTGATTCACAATTTATGATTGTTCATAAATCACAACAAATCAATTGCCTTCACACATCAAAAAACAAACAAAAAGGACTTCCAATAAGGAATTTAGGCATCCTATGGTTCTATTCAAGTACATAGTTTGAATGAAACTATGAAGATTATTACTTTAAATGTTCACATTTTTATGCCTTTAGGACAAGCACCAGGTAGCAAATGGCAATGATGCAAACTAGATTTTCTAGAAATTTTGATTTATCTGCCCATACTCTTGAATAGTATTGAATAGTATTGAATATACTCAAGAAGAGCAGGCTATTTCTGCATTTTCTTCAAATAAAATGTACCACAAAAATCAATTTCAATCCTTGAAATAAGGATTTCAGTCCTTATTTCTGAAACTGGTTTACTGAATATATGTATGTTTGAAATTAGGTCCAAAATCCTCCAATGATGCAACCCCTGAAACAACACAATTGTAAACCACTGTTTTTCACAGTCCATCAGGACTCAAAAATAAATACTCCTCTTTCCTAGTCAGTGTAATATAGTTTTACATACAGTTATATGAACCTATATTTACATTAATATTCTTAATTGATATCTGAATCCCAAAATGTAATGCTTTGATCTGAGGAAATGGGCCTTTCCAGCTATAACTCTCAAGATCATCTCATCAGTCAGTACACATAAAATCTTAATGTCATCAGAATTTTTTCAGAAAGATAAGGAAGAAAATGCACCTGTGTGGACCAAATATCTCTATCATTTCTTTTCACACCTCAAGTCTTCATCCAAAACAGAATAATCTATTACTATGTCAAACTAGCTGCTTGTTTTTTAAACCATTTGCAATAATACCCCTCTCACAGACAGGTGGCAGTATACAACTAGGCCTCCGAATTTGTCCCATTTAATTTCAAATTTGCACTTGGAGTATCTTATCCTCCAGCAGCAACAATATTTCTTAGGCAGTGTGACAGGATTTTTCTTGTAACATACAGCTATGTTATTTTGAAACAGCAATAAAATGCTTTGTGAGACCTGTCCTCCAACAACATATCCTCAAAAGACTTTTCTTTTACTTGCACATTAATGAATGACCTCCAAAACAGCCTCGCTGCAGTTCAGGCAGTGCAAGGATTTCTTTGGAAAGTATAATCCACATCAAAAAATTACCAAAGAACACATCAGAAGCAGCAAGTCTTGTTTAAAAGGGCTCAATTTGAAATATGGCCAGAGACCTGCCGAAATACACCATGTAGTCTCTGTGGCCACATGGGAAAGAAAACACTTCTTCTTTTGAAGCTATTCTATTTTTTTATTTCCCCCATGATCTTAATAAACACTCTAATTTTAAACACATGGAATTATAGTACCAGCAATTTAAGTGATTCCAGGAAATGTCCATAATTTTCAGCTTTACAATTAAACCATTTAACACCATTTATGTGCAACAACATGCAAGCCATGTAAAGTGGTAAAATATTACCCTAATTACATTATTACTTGCAACTCTTAATTGCAGGCCATGTAAGAGTTATCATCAGAGCAAAGTAAAACCTATTCAGGAGAAAATTCATTTTAGAAATGTACACAATGTAGGGATATTGAACCAATAGGATTTAAGTAAATTTTCTATGACAGGAAAAAACTGCACACAATGTGAAGACACAATGTATCTGTGTCTTCTATGCATCAGTCACTAATGCATACTTAAAAGTGCTCAGGTTTTTATCTATATATTTCAAGTACATACAAATTATTACCTGTTTAGAGATATCCAAGTAGAGAGGGAGCATCAATATTCAAACAGTGCACTACACAGACTGGGAATGTAGGAGTTGCTTTTATTGCAGCTTTATATGTTGTATATTTTCAAGAGTGGACAAGAACTAGTCTTGAGCCTCTAACATAACATTTGAAACTTTATTGACCTCAGTATTTTTCATTTCAATAAAAATATCCTCATTGTTACAAAACCTTTCAAAAATAGCCAAAGATGACAGCTCAACTAAAGTGATAAATTTGGTAATATACCTGCTCCTTAAAGAGTAAATAAAATCTAATAAGTAAGTAAGTACCAGTAGTAACTGAAAAAATCTAATTGAGTCTAGAACTATTAAAGCACTAACATATTAAACATACAGAAATTCCACATTAATTCTGTAGGTCATCTTCTCTGCATTGTGACACAAATTGTCTCATTTTATTGCAATTTTGCCAGAACTGCTCTGGGATCCATATCTTGGGAAGACTGCTTTCCAGTAATAAATATTAAGCTTCAGATTAGGCATCTGATTCTTAATTGGAATCTTGGCCGTTTTCAGACTGAAGTTCCATTATAACAGTTTAAAAGGGAAGAAAATTTGGTGATGTGAGTTAAATTTAAAAAAGCTAATAATGAAATGTGTAGTAATACAAACTCAATTCTCCATCCTATTACAACCAGTTATTGGATATTAAAAAAGTTGCTAACCAGCAACTCTAAAGTCTCCCAATAATTTCAACATTCAGTTGCTAATTTACGAACTTCCACATGAAATGCATGTTACACTGTAGTGTCTTGATTTCACTTTCTCACCTCTTAATTTTCTGGAGCACTCAGTACAATAGCAGAAAACACGGGGCAGCACAGTAGCTACCCTCTCTGAATGATGAAGAAAGAAAACAAATGTGCTGTACACAAAAAATACAATGTTTCTGGGCCACATGACTTAGAATTATGACAGGATAGTGGCAAAGCAACTTGGAAAAACTGGACAAATTCCACCTGACCCAGAAATGCTGCTCTTACCCAAATGCAAAAAAAATCCAAACCTGAATTAATTTCTTAATTTAAGTAACAAAGACTCTTGTGGCATAAATTTGCAAGACTGAATTCTGAGTTGCATGGAAAAACATATTGCTAAAAAAAAAAAAATAAAAAAATAAAAAAAAATAAATTAAAAAAAAAAATACACACTGCTTATGTAAGCCAGAGGCACATTACTACCACCATATTCCATTATCTTTATTACGTGCTAGCAGAACCTCACGAGGAAAATTAACAGAGGATAAAATTACTTTCAAAATTCTACATCTTTGCATTACTACATACCAGAGACCTCGTTCCAGTTGGCTTACTAGGCTATTTAATATTGCTTGGGAAAAAAATGTAAATTGAACACTAGTAGAATCTGCCAGTACTCCGCAAGTGCATATGCAACAGGATGTCTCACACTACAGCATATGGAAACATACGTATTCTTATAAAAAGCATGCAGCTGACCATATCCATGGACATATTCATCAGAGTAATGCTTTTTCTTGGCCTCTGCTGCTACCTGTCCCTGAGGCAGGGCAAATAGGTTCATTGTTAAGGGATCCTTAGGGGTGGATTAAACCAAAACTATAAATAAGCAATAGAACAAAAAAAAAAGATAATATTAGAGTAAGTGCTTTGAAACCATAACTGGAAAAAAAAAAATAAAGAAAAGTAAATAAAAAAGGAGTAACAGATTGGAAAAGGGGTGTATAGCTGTTTTGGAATGCATAATCATCTTAAGAGAAGAAAATTCAAAAGAGAAAAAGAAAGTAAAAGGGACAATAGAAGAGAGAGAAAGATACCACCACCTGTGGCTTCTGTGACCCATGGGTGATCACAGCTCATGGTTGTGATGTACAGTCCTGGTCCATCACAGGTGGAGGCCCACAAAAATTGGGGGGTTATGACCCTGGCTCTTCTGGTAAATAAATGCCCCAATACCTCCTAGATGAGTTCTGGGCACGGAGAATAGTATTCTTCCTGGAAGATTCTGGAAATCTGTCTGTGTTGAAGCAGCAGGGGAGGGTTGAGTGCATGTGTCTCAGGGTTGTGTTCAAGCACCTGGGCAAAGTTTGGGAGTAAACTTTCTGAGTTTTGTAGTTGTAGTTAGTGGGTGAAATGGTGTGGGAAAGAGACTGGCATAAAAAAATCCAACAAAACACTGCACTGCTTCCACAGGTTCTGTTGCTTAAAGGTGCTTTTTCCTTTAATTTGAAAACAGCTTGTTTATGGCAAAATTTAGCTGCACAGTCCAAATTCTTCCCTACAGCCTGCCTGTGGCCAAAGGAATCTGTATTATTTTACAACCTCTCATACTGAGAATCACCTCTTCTATTCTTGCCATAGTTCTACTGCTCAAGTCAAAAGTCACAAAAGCTAATAAAATATAATAGAAAGAGTTTGTCACAACTGAGTATCTAGAAACCTGGAAACTATCTTCACTTACCACTATGCAGCTCAGAAAAGTAAGACTAATTAAGGAATTACAATAAACTTAAAAAATCATACAATTTTGTAATTGAAATGTAAATTCAAAAAATTGAAAATCATCAAATAATCCTTTAACATTATTTGCTAAAAAGCAGAAACACTATTTCAACTTTATTTTCTACATGGAATAGGATTCAAATATTCTTATATAGAAATAGCAGACTAGGTCCAAAATTCTTTAACCAATGGTTTACTGATGTTCCTCCACATTAATCAGCACCATTCACCTACAACTGACTTTACCTGATCCATCTGAATCCCCTATTACTAACTATATAAGGGAGGATTCAACTCAGGTGAAATATAATATACTATACCAGAAACACTGTTCAGTGTTATCTTAAGAATTAGAAAAGTCAAATTAATCTCATAATTTGAGATTTGTTCTTGTGCTTTATGTCATCCAACAGAGACCAATCACAGGAGTGATGACATTTACAAAAGTCAAAATTACCGCTTCTCGCTGATCTCCAGGAGCCAACAGAACAGACAGGAAGATACTTCCCAGATCATGGTCGGGGTAATGAGTATCCTTCAGACTCAAGGTAACATCTGTTTGCCTAAAAGACAAAATCAATGCACTTACTAGGTCTTCAGACTCTCAGATAATGAAATTTCCCAATCATAATTGAAGGCATCTGATTTAATATGAACCTACTTATAAAACATTGGCACAAATGTGCCCCATTTCTACTTTTAAGTATTTCTGCTGAATGCTCATAAAAAATAGTAAATACTTTTACTCTGTATTAACTACTGTATTACATGTACTGAGGTAACTAAATCAAAAATATAACATTAATGGAGTAAAAAACAGAAAAATATTCAAACATTAGGGGGTAATGCTGTGAATAAAACTAATACAAAAACAAGATTAAAGTGGTTATAAAACAAACCTCTCCATAAACACTATGAAAATGTGCATAATCAGCTAATAAATTAACATTCATCATATAATAATTTCTTAGACATAAGTGGTTTTCTTTGGTTAGATTTATGCTGTGCAGGTTTATGTAACTGTTTTCTAGAATAGTGTTTTACCCTCAACTCCACAAGCATGGTTTTAGCAGATAAATATATATGAATATTCCATAGGCTTGTTTGTGCCATACCTGTTTAACTCCAATGACGTGAGATCCAAAAATGCCGAACCAATGAAGTCATCTTGAAGTCCAAAGTCATAATCAAATACCTATGATGCACAAGAGCACTTCTTAGTACTAGAAATCTTTCTTTCTTAAGAACTTTTCTGACTATGAATTATTCTGGAAACTCTTTTTTGGAGTTGTAGTGTCATGTCTCTCACTTGCTGAATCAGGACTACCTAAAAGTAACCTGAAATTTTCTGGCCAGAAAATAAAGTCTGAAACTGCTTGTTTATAAGTCAGACTGCATAATATAGAGACAGTGGTTAATACTGCTAGTAGACTACGCATGTGAACAACAGCAATTTTATAAAAATGAAAGAAATATTTTTATAAACACAGACATTGAAAGAAGGAAGATCACAACAATAAATAAAGTCAAACAGAATCACTGATTTCCTATACACTGATTCCTTTATGAATCCTGCAAAGTGGAAGAAGAAGGGCAGGATATGTTTATGGAAACTGTTTTCGCTTTTATTATAACACTTGCATCAGTGTTTGAAATAATATAATTGTACATTTTGGAGGTTATGCGACTTTCTAGAGTTAGAAACATTACAATCTAAAATTAAAACTGAACGAATATGCGTAAGAAAACAATGACAGTTAATACTCTGCTATGAGGAATCTGCCTCCTAATTTGGTACCTAAAAGAGAAAATAACTTGATAAATTTACTGACATCAAAACAGGAACCTGGCCAGTATATCAGATGGTACTATTTGAGATGGGTTATGACTTCCTAAGAATGAAGAAAGAATAGCAAATAATCTGGGGGCAGCTATTGCAGGGAAACAAACAAAAAAAATGGACAGCAACAACGAAAAGTTGCAACACAAATGCAAAAAATTAAAAAGGGAAAAGATAATTATCAAAATCAACTTTTAAGGTAAATTAGCCTTTTTTGGGGTAAACAGGTTTTCTGAGGACTAGAACATATCTTCATCTAGGTAAGAGTGAGACTTGTGAACACCTTACAAAGAGAAAGGAGAAAATTGAGTATATGACAGGACTAGGTTCAAGGTCTTCAACTCTAATGTAAGTACTTCTACTATTGTACATCAGGAACTCTTCCAGGAGGCAAAACAGTTCATCTTCTACAAATACCTTAATATGGTCAGGGTTAAGACAGTAGTAATAGAAATCCCGTGGCCTAAAGGCTACAGCACAGCTGCACTCATGATACAAGTATGTGAGCACAAGTCTCTCACATGTACTAATCTACCTGCATGCATTGATCTACCCTTGCATTTTCTACATCTGTTAGTCATTCCAATGGGAAAAGAAAACAAATGGTGAAATCTCAGTTCATGGTGCAAAGTCAAAATTGTTTTCTCCCCTCTCTCCCTCTACAAATTACCAAGGTAAAAATACCAAGTACTTTCAGCTGACTTAGTAAAATTCAATCATGTCTTAAAATATCTGAATGAGCTGTAAAACCTAAAATACTTCAGAGAGTGTGTTCAGAATACAGCCATGATAGACATACCACTTGACACACTTTTCCTGGGGGAAAAAAATACACATCCTACTGCAGATCTGGTATTTAGCGTAAATCCTTAAACAGGTGACTATATTGCAAGTCTTTGCATCTTCCTCTCTCCTTCACCTCTTGATTTGTTATGAGTTATTAAACATAATAAAAGCAGGAAAATGCCATTTGATGATTTTAATTAGTTTTTAAGGTTTTCTAGTAACGATATACTTTCTCTGAATAGCATGAAACACAGTACTGAATAATATTTAAAGGATGTTTAAGTGGTATTGCTCTACTAAAAAAAAAAATCTGTAATTTGACATTTCAGTTAAAAATTCTGTCATGAATTTTAGATTAAGACTGATACTGATCTAAAACATCATGTAATTTCAGATCATCTTAAGAGAATTATAATGGTAAGCCAAGTTTCCATACATATGAAAAATACAAGTATTTTCAATGTATGCATTTTGTATCCTAGGACTACAGTTTTTCCAAATAGATTTTTGGAACATTATTTTTATCTACTTTGTTTTACACAACTAAGAATCACTTTTGCATATAGATCATCATAGACTACAAGGGCCAGAAAAGCATCTTTCTCTTCTGTGTGAGAACAACCATCACAGTTTTCCTAGTTTCCATTCCAATACTGACATCTAAGAAATATTAGTGGCACTGCTGCTTATTAGTCATAACATTTGTGGCCACTTTCTGATCTAAACTCAAGCAATCTGTTATTTCAGAATAATTGGTGCATCCAACACAAAAAAATCATCCTCACCTGTGATTTACTAGGGAGAGCTACAGTGTAAAAATTTTAAGAGCAGAAAATTGCATGAAACACAGAAGCAAACTCACTGTGTTCCATACAAACAGAAAAATTAAAAAACATAGAAGAATCAGGCAGACATCTCAATAAATTCTCAAAAACTGACCTCAGCAGTGAATTGCTTTTAATGGGACAGACCATTCTACATATCATTACTATGCAATGATATTTCCATAAATGAAATGGATCATGAAATGCAGTTTACTTTGTCTCTTCTTCTAAGATCACATTAAAGAAATATAAAATAATTATGACCTGAAGTAAAAAGAGGCCTGTATTTGCCACTTTTAAAAATGCTGATATCATCATTCTTCAAACAAAACTTAAATAATTTTCACTTTAAATAGTCTTTATTCTTCACTATTGTGCAATGAATCTTTCAGTATACAGAAAATCACAAATCCTGAATTCTTCCAATAATTCTTCAGTTGTAACTTATCAGACATATATAAGCTGCTGTCTTACCTTTATATACAATGGTTCTCTTAGGTTATCTATAAGAATATTAGCTTTTTCTTCCCAGACAGGATTGAGGTTCTTGTGTACTGTTTTACTTCTAAATACTTCTTTTCCTCCAAGTTTGAACTTGACATATGGATCACTTGTTCCTGGAAAAGACACATATATACTGCTAATTCTATCTTTATAATACACTAAGGAAATTGAGACTAAATTACTTTAAACAGAACTAAATGTAATGTCTACAGATAGTCAAATTCACAACAGCATCAGATGAAAAGAATTCTTTATTGTCACAATCTATTACTTTCCAGGGTGTCAATACTCAGTTAATTGAGTCAGTTAACATCAAATGAGTGCTTGCATCACTTTCTGTTGTTTGCAATCCATTCTCAAAGTCACACATGAAAGACTGGGAGTATTGTTTTTAGTTAACAGAATTAACTCGTTAATGCGAGTTAATAGAGTTAACTTGTCCTTATCAGGGTTACTATTTTATCTTAATGCAACAACAAAAATTAGATTATAAAGTTAAAATTGCTCCTGTAAAATACTAACTTAATTATGTTGTGCCTTTGAAAAGGCACATACTCCACTGACACCTCTAGCGTAAGTCTTCAATGACTTTATTGTGTCCAGGCTTCTCTTTTCCATATAGACTCACTTCCTGCAGTACACATGATGAGAAAATTAACTCTAAAGTCTGACCACAACGTCCTCAACATGCCTCCTGCAGCAATCACCTACTCATTACAGAGTACTGGACAAAGCCTCTTGAAACAACTGAGTAACAATTAATTGTCATCAGAAAAACAACCCTAACAGGTATAAGAAAAATGTTAAATATGACATATGAATGCCATATGCGTGGGACATGTATGTGGAAGTATCAGAAAAACTGAACCACCTGTGAAAGAAGGAGTCTTGGGGGGGCACAGAGACTTGCAGTCATCAAGGAGTGCGCATGAGCCTAATTGATCAAAGACTATCTTAAACAGTAATTCTAACTTGAGTAACAACTGTACCTCCTTAACAGTAGCAGAATTATAAGACAATTTTTTTTATTATTTTTTTTCCCTAACCATTAGGGCTTTTCAAGAGACCAGCAGATTTTAGAAGTTTGTGTTTGTATTCACTGCGAAATACATCCAAAAAAAAAATAGCTTCTCTTAAAATTGCAACATGCTCTTCTAAACGTAAATTAGAAGGGTTATGAGCAGCAGTCTTTGCATTATTTCATCCAGCCACAAGATGTCAGTACTCCTTACCTGAAGTTAATCTCTCCCCGTTTCAAGAAACTATAGCGGTGGAAAATTGTGGTCTCTCATGTTACAGTCATTTGCAACTGTAATTCCTAGCACAGAATTTCAGTGTTTCTTTCTAGCACAACTAAGTTGTTCCTTGGTTTTTCAAGTAGTGGTGATAATTTTGAAGTCAAAGATCAAGTATTTAAATTAATTCTATGTAATGTGAAGAATGTTTTTAGTATGAACACTATGTTATGGTGTGCCCAGACCCGGCTCCATGGGACCACTCTACAATCTCATGAATTCTGTTAGGCCTTGACCTTCATGCAGACAGTTTGACAATGAAGCATCCCTTGACTGTACCAGGAACTTCTGCATGGTTAAGGTGGGAGTGGCATTGAGTGGAAAGACAAGAAGAGAAAAATCAATCTTTTGCTGACACCTTTGGAACATCTAAAAGAAGAAAACCGATTCTAGCTCATGAATTGGAAGGGTTGATTGAGAGGGCTGTAAACTAGGTTTGGAGGGAGAAGGGGGTAAGACCAGGCTCACTAAAGATGAGCCAGAGGGCAGCATGCCGGTGTCAGGGTTGAACTTGATAACACAGCTAAAGCAGATGAACCCAGCAGGGGTAACAAACAGAAAGAACTGGAGGCCATTCTGCAGTGGAAAAGCTGTGACACAAGTCACCATTACAGAAACACATTAGAATGACTTGACTGGAGTACTGCATGGATGTATAGAAGCTCTTCAGAAGGGTTAGGCAAGGAAGAAGAGGTGGAATGTTAGCTCTGTACACTAAGGAGTGTTTCAGTTCAAGGACAGTGATGGTAAGTTTGGGTGCTTGTGGGTGAGATTCAGGGAAAAGGGCAATAAGGCAGACATCCTGGTGAGAGTCTCTTATAGACCACTCAACCCTCATGAAGAGGTGGATGAAGCACAGGTGGCTAGCTGACATTTCACAATTGCCCGTTCTTGCTCTTGTGGCAGATTTCAACTGGCTGGATGTCTGCTGCATACTCAACACGGCACAGAGGAGACAGTCTAGGAGATTCTTGGAGTGTGTGGAATTTCCTGCCACAGCTGGTAAGAGAGCCTACCAGGGCTGAGATTCCACTAGACCTGCTATGTGTGGATAGAGAAGGGATTGGTGAGAGTTGTGTTGGTCAGAATCTTGGCTGCCCATCTTGGGCACAGTGACTGAGTTTTTAATTCTTGGTGAAGTAAGGAACAGGATCAACAAAACCTTTGCCTCTGGAGGGTGGACTTTGGCCTGTTCTGGAATTGGTTCAGGGACTTTGCTGGGAAATAAAGGGGTTCAGGAAGGCTGGACATAGTTTAAGAAGGAAATCTTAGAGATGCGTAAGTGAAATGTGCTGCGAGATGAGCTGTCAGGGAAGTCTCATCAACAGGAAACTTTTGCTGGAACTCGGGGGGAAAAAAAGGGCATTTATGACCTTTGGAAGAAAGGACAGCCAACCAATGAACAGTAAAAGGATGTAATTAGGTCATGTAAAGAGAAAAATAAGAAAGAAAAAAGCTCTGCTACAACTCAGTCTGATCACTGCTGTAAAAGAAAATAAAAAGTGTTTTTATAAATATATTAACAACAAAAGGAGGGCCAAATAAAACCTCAATCCATTTTTGAATGCAGAGGGCAACACTGTCACCAAGGATGAGAAAAAGGCTGAGGTACTTAATGCCTTCTTTGCCTTAGTCTGTAATAGTAAGACCAGTAAGACCAGTAAGACCAGTTATTCCCAGGGAAACCAGCCCTTAAGCTGGTAGACAGGGGTGGAGAGCAGAATAAACATCCTGTAATGCAAGAGGAATTAGCAGAGCTGTTTGGACAGTCATAAGTCTATGGGACCAGATGTGATTTACCCAAGAGTACTGAGGGAGCTGGTGGAAGCGCTCACCAAGCTGCTCTCCATCATTTCTTTATCATCAGGTCCCAGATGACCAGGGATTAGCCAATATGCTGCCCATCCACAAGCAGGGGCTAGAAGGTGGATCCAGGGAACTACAGGCCTGTCAGCCTGACCTCAGTGCCTGGGAAAGTTATGAATCAGATTCTCTTGAGTGTGATCATATACACATACAGGACAATCAAGGGATCAGCCCCTAATCTCATTTCACGTCCAACCTGTTTGACCAACCTGATCTCATTTCATGACCAAGTAACCTGCCTGGTGGATGCTGGAAAGGCTGTGGATGTTGTGTACCCTGACTTCAGCAGAGCCTTTGGCACTGTCTCCTACAGCATTCTCCTGGAGAAGCTGGCAGCCCATGGCTTGGGCAGGTGCACTCTCCAGTGGGTTAAGAACTGGCTGGAAGGCTGGGCCCAGAGCATGTGACTGCGTGGTGTCACATCCAACTGGTGGCAAGTCACTAGTTATATTCCCCAGGGCATTTTAATTTTAATCTCACACATAAATTTACCCAATGAACATGCAAATTGCCAATCATTAAGCCAGTGTTCACCAGCTCACTTACCTCCACGGTCTCGTGCAGCTAGATTCTGTCCTCTTCTTAGAGTAACATCCAACTGGTATATTCCAGGGTCCCCAGGTGGGAAATCTGCATTACTAGTTCCAAATGAACTTGTTCTCTGGGGAGGAAAAAAATAAAAATGCAATAGCTAATGTTATGAAACATTTCACGTAAGTTACATGTATACAACATCATCCTACTGAACTAAGAAAAGGCCACATCCCACTCCCCCACCTCAGAGCTACTACCCAACACCAAGGAATCAGCCCTATTTTGTCAGCATGACAACTACCAACATTCCTTAAAAGAAAAAAAAAAATAAACAAAACAAACTGGTTGAAAAACCAACCCTTTGATATAAAGGGGTTAGAAATTGACAGTCATTAAGGTTCCTTCCAACCCAAACTATTTAATGATTTTAAGAACTACAGTTTTAATTACATTCATATCTAGTCCTGGCCCACTGAAGCAAAATAAGTAAGAAAACCACAAAGCTAGACCTTACAGCATTACTTGGACTAGTCATTACCAGTGTCCTCAAATCCTGTGTAGATTAGTTATAATGTATGCATTGAATAAATGTACATGAATTAAGATTTTGTGCTCTACTGCAGTACTTTGCAAGCAAAGCAGATTTTTTCCCACAGAGTTTTGGGGGAAGCTATGCCAGGGAAATAATCAGAAAGACATGAAATGCATCTGTAGTTCTGTTTGCCAGAGCAAACATCCTTAGATTATTTATTTGTATAAAATGTGTCCTAAAAAAATACAATACAAGAAGTCAGAATGCAAGGAACTCTCCAGAACCTCTGAAGTGCATGAACAATAAACATATTTCTGTCCAAAAGACAAAGTAATTACATTTCTTAGTATATAGAAGCTTTTGCAAAATAGATTTTAACACATCTCTCTGTAAGTAGAATCCAATTACAGCACGTGACTGAAACATCATATTTAATTTTAAGACTAGAAAAATTAAATCAATTATAGATTCACAGTACATACAAGAACTTCATCTGTTACACACTTTGAACACTATATTTACATATGCTCATGCTAGGAACTAAATCTTTTAAGAGTAGTGCTATTAATATTTTATTATGTGATTATGGGTTTTCTGCAAGAAAAAGAATTGCATGATAGAAATATCTCAGAACATGTACCAAGTGCTACACCATTTCACCAAGAGACAAGTTTTATCTCTTCCTACTAAACCCTTTCTTCTTTTCAAAGTAATACTAAAGCTAAAGCATGAAGGAAGACACAAAATAAAGGCATTTCAATATCTGGTTTATTCTTGTTGTTTCAAAGCCGTAACTTCAAGCCTTAGCATATTAACTTTTGCTGCCGCACATAAAATGCTGGTCAAAAAGCACACTGGCATGCTCACTGGTGAAAGAAAGACAAAGAATATCTGGCAGCAAAAAAAGCAAACAGAAGAGTTTCCATCAATTTGCTCCTCTTTCCATCTGCCTCCATATCCTGATTTTGGAGCAAAATAGTTTGCTGACATTTATTAATTTAAATCTAATATAAAATTTTACTTCTGCAGTACTTGCAGAGCCTAAGATAGTATGATGGTACAACAAAAGGGAAAATAAAACTAAGTTCTCCGTTTCTCCACTAAGATTACAAACCTGAAAGTTTCTTTCTTCATGAAAAAAATTGCAGCTTCCTTACCACCTTTCTCTCATGTCATTATCCTCTTTTTTTTATCACAAATTAAAAACTGTTGTTGTTTTCATAGTTTTGTAAAAACTATGTTGTTTTCTGTGAAAAGCAACTACTGCAATCATGCCAAATCCTACTGGGGTTATCATTTGTTTCTTACAAATATAATCGGTCACCTACAGACAACAGACTGCCAGCACAGGGATTCAAGTTTTTTTAAGAACTGAATGAAGTAATTTTCTTACTTTTACCCTTCTTTTCTTCCTTTGGAGTATATTGCCTTAACCTTTTTCTATGGTGTTGTGTAACAGCCTTTTTGATGAAACCATTAACCATTTATGGCAATTCCAGTTCCAGAAGAAATTAATACTAGCTACTGGGTGAACACTTCCTTTTACCAAGAAGTAGACAAATCAGTCAGTGTGCAAGTACCCACCAACATCTCTTATGATTGTACACATGTGCAAAGGTGTAACCCCCCACAAAAGAACAGGACACTAGATTGTACTGATGAAATAGGAACTTCTGTTGGAAAACACACACAATGCGCTCAAACACTTAATACTAGGCAAAGTAAATCATCCTTGGCTGGAACCAAAAGGAATGGGGATATGTGGGATATTGGTATGTGGGGATAAAGCCTTTTGTAAAGTGCTGCCCCTAGGCTGGAAAGGCATTTGTACTTTCAAAGCCTTAGTCCCTAACATAACAATAATTGTTAAAGACCACGTGCCCTCAGGACTATCGATAAGAAGCTAATTGGAAGTGTACAAATTGAACCTTAAATGCTGTAACTGAGCAACCAACAAAACTCTATTGTTTTGTACAGTGGTTTTTACCCTGGCCAGGAGTAAGGGAATTAGAAAATAAAATAGCAGACTTTTATGCTACCATTATATTATATTATATTCCATTATATTATATTATATTATATTATATTATATTATATTATATTATATTATATTATATTATATTATATTATATTATATTTATATAATCATACAACAGATGTCATTACTGCATTGCATAAAGAAGTTAAGAGCTTGTCACAAGTCACTTTACAAAAATAAATGGTATTAGACCTTCTCTTGGTATCACAAGGAGAAGTATGCACTATCATTAACATCAGTTGCTCTGCACACATTGATCAAAGTGGTAGAGTGTCTACAGATGCCCAGGAAATCTGGAAAAAAACCCACAAATTTGACAATGCATAGCTCAAGATGACACCTCCTGGGGATCTGAAGAAATCTGGATCAAATTTACTTCATGGTTACCCAGCTGGACTTGATTAAAACATGTTTGTAATTGTCACCATAATAACCGCTGTGTGTTTCAGCTTGCATCATGATTCAGCTGTTGTAATGTCTTACACTATAAAATGAAATACAGATATTAAAAGACCAGTTCCCTTAAGGAATTTAGTCTCAAGAAAAGGGAGGACTTGTTAAGAACAGCAGAGCAGAACAGTATTTTACCCTCATAAGGACAGGCAAACAGAACAGCACAGCCTTGGAGAAATAGATAGAGGATGTAACTTACACAAACCGGAGTTGTGCAAAATGCAGCAAGATGCCAGTTCAGCTCTGCAAGGTTGATAAAGCAGAAGTTATGGAAAAAAACCATAGTGTGCTAACTCAAAAGTGGGGGTTGAGGAAAACCACCTAAAAAGGACACCAGACATTGAAGACTACCAAAGAAGACCTGAGAAGGACCACATAAGGACTTTGACAAGGGACGTGATATGTAAAATGAAATAATACATATACATCAAGTAACCAGGGATAGCTCATGAATATGTAATCACTGCTTATGATAAAAGCTCTTTTTATCTGACATTCGGGGTACTTGATTACAGGAAGGATCCTCTGAGTGACCAGCAAATTGCCGGTCACTCAGAGGATGAACGCCAGATTTCTAATACTCAAAACTGTGTTAGATAAAGGCTATGTTTCTATCTGGCCAATTTTGGTACCAAGGCTGAACCACTTTACCTTGGCCAAAGACTGGAATAGTTTGCCCAGGGAGTCTCCCTGAAGACACCCAAAATCTGCTCTGACATTGTCCCAAGCAATCTTGCTCAGAGCAAGAGGTTTGATTGGTCTGTCTCTGGAAGTCCCTGCAAACCTCATCCACCCTGTGATTTTTTACTGCTTTGAAATGTCATGGTAAATAAAGTATATGATGAACTTAGCTACCTTTCCTCAATGCACTGTTTTGCCTTCCACTTCTGTTTGCCCTGATACGGCAGTGCTGCAAGTTGGCATTCAGAATTACCATCCTCTCCAACCCTTTAAGAGAAGAGCATGTCTAAGATGCCAAGATACACATAAACCCTGAATTTTTCAAGATAAGCATATATATTTCTGCTTTGCATTTATGCTGCAGTGCTCATAAGAGTTGTAGTCGTTCCCTGCACATTTCAGTCCTTCTCTGTGAAGAAACCCATTACTTTCAAAGGCACATCAAGCCATATTGTGTATGACTCAACAAACATGAAGCTGCTTTCTACATGCACTTGTAGAAAGCAAGCTACCTGCACCCTCAAAAATCACAAATATTATCTTTTTCAAAAATTAAAATGCATAATAAATTCCAGTCATCATGAAACAAATCAGATCTGACTTTCAGAAAAACTATTGCAGAATTGTTCGGTTTCCAAGACTTTTTCCTTCCAAGGAAAAAGGCTGAGCAATTCTGTGCCATTTTGGTTTTAAGTAGATTACTGGAACTTACATGGCTTGTCTGAGTACATTTTTGCAATCACACATGCATTTGCACTCACAAACACATGATGCATGCACAAAGTAAAAGGGGAAATAGAAGCAGTCTCTAAGGGGATGAAAATAACACTGAAAATTCACACCATTTTTTCCTGCTAAAATTAGACCCTTAATTCTTAAAATAATTGAACTGTTAGGCATTAAAATCATATCTGCATTTCCTTTTTTCCTGTTTTTCCCAAAGACTAAGTCTCAGACAGATCCAGCACTATTCCAATTTCTGGCAGCTAGCATTTCTGCCACCTCTAGGAAAACTTGCACTATCACATAGAAAAATTCTCTCACATGCCTGGAGAGTGCAGAATTGCACAACAAATGATGTCAAACATGGCAGATGAAAGATAATTCAATTAGGAACCAGAGGGAGGTGTCTCATCTAAATCAAAGATGATCTTTGAACAATTAACTCTCTCCATTTCAAAATGAGATACTTACCTGAAGTCAACAGAAATGCTATACACATCATTCACTTGAAAAAATTAATCTCTAATCACTGTATGTAAACTTGAATCACCTATGTTTTCACAACAGAAAACACTACTAAAATATTCCTACCTTAATTTTCTGTATTATTAATCTAAAAATATGCAGATAATATTTATATAAATACATATAAACATATTTTACATAACCTGGCTTATCCAGGATTAGTTTTTATTTAAAT